ATCCTTAATAAATGTGTATACTATTTACCTTTTCTGATATCAAGGGTATGAGGTTTACAATTCGTTCATATTTATTTGTAGTTGAGTATGACTAGAAACAGACTTATTTAGTACTTGCTCCTTGGTTTTTGGCAAAATTTCTTGTAAAAAAATTTTCTTGGATTTTGATACCTCTAGTATTTAAACGTACTGAGTTTTATAGAACTCATTCATATTATTCTGATTCAGCTAATTATAAAAATTAGTTTTATTTTGGTATCTAATGATGCCCAGTTTTTTTTAAATAGTTATTTTAATTTATATTATCAACGCTTCCTTCGTAAACTCCAAAAATATTGTCTGTCAACGTGAAACTAGGGATAATCTACTAAATTATCAACCTATTTCTCAAGTTAGTATGAAAAATATTTTAAAATCAATTTTTTTTTTTTCATTTTTTGTAATTGAACGACACTGAACCAGTTTGATTATAATTTTGAAAGAACTGCTCTACTCAAAATGAGGGCTCAATATAAATTTTTATTCATTATTTCTATGATTATACATTTTTTAAATAACTAGACGTATTTAATAACTTTTTTAATATAATACAGCCTATCATGGTAGTATGACAATTGTTTTGTTATAATATGTGGTGTTATCCTCATTACATAAAAATTAACAGTTTTTAAGTTTCTCTAGCGTCTACATCTTTAATAGAGCTTATATCACAAGACTTTAATGTTTTTTAAATATTCATGTTTAACTAAAAAAAAAACACTTTTCGAAAAATCAATTTTTAACTTTAAAATTCGAAAAAAACGGATGAACCTAACCTCAAAATTTTCAAAAATATTTTTATTGTATTCAGCCGGAAAACTGCTATCGGAAACATATATTTTTTTTTTACCATTCCAATTTTTTCTCGAAAATTTACATGCTGGAGGTCAAAAAAAATTCGAAACGTCTGACCATTACTGACGACAATGGTAATGGTCAAAAATCTGAAAAAATAACACAAATGCCCTCATAGATTACTATACATACATACCCGAAGTTTGAAGAAAAAAAAATTATTTTTTGTCTCCGTTAACGTGAAATACCTTGCATATAGTACGAAGTTAAAAACTTGCTGTAGTACATCCTTATTAAATTTTTAAGCAAGTTTATAAATTATTCTCATATTATCATTTGTGGTAAGGGATTATGTTATTTTTATTGTTGGCTTTCTTTTTAATTTCGTATACAACTCAAACTACGCCGCCATCCATGTGTAGCTTGTCCAAGATAAGCTTATCCGCAGCATATTACCGTGCGAAGTAACGTTTCTTTTGACATTTTAGCCCTGTAGGTACTCGTGTCACTCGCAAAGTTGGCTTCTCAAAAAAATTATACTTCTATTAGACACATAAATGCCTCCTGCAAAGACCAACGCAATTTCTGATTTTTTTTTTTAATAAGGCGGGCACAACTGATCAATTTTTATCTGCCTTTGTACCTTGTGTTGTTTTTCTTTATTTTTATTTATTTTTTTTTTTGCTTTAGTAGGTGTTTCCTTTTTTTTTACCAGAAAGCCGAGAAGCAGAGGTGCATCGGACGGTTGTACAAAATTGCGTACAATGAGATAACAAATTATTTTATTTATCGATTTACAAAAAAACATGTAGACCACAATCGGTATCGGTACTATTCGTTGTTGCAACCGCAGTTAACAAGCTCTTCCAAATTTGGTCGGCCTCGCGAGCCGAACAAATACTTCTTCGCCGTGATCGTGTTAGTGCTACTATCTTTCCTCGTTTGGGCTTCCTTGTCCTTTGGCATCAGCGTTTGCAAGTTCACGCCTGCCCGGAAATGCGACTTGAATGTCTGCGTACTTCGCGTAACACTTCGACATATGTCCGCCTGTGAGATCAATCAATCAAATGCCCCGTAACAATCGTGATGTTATTATGCGCTTACCAAATGCAAAGCTTGTTCACGAAGTTGCCAAAGGCTCGCCGAGTAATCCTTGTCAATGAACGTCGGAACTACGTGAGTGTCGGTCTGAACTTCCTGATGTTGACGAACCAGAAAATATGGGCCCTCGTCGGACGAGCTGAACAACAAGTGAACGGAAATCGTTGACTCGAAGATAAAAAAGAATAATAAAATAAAAAATAAAAAAGCAAGCCGTTACCTTTTGTAAGAATTTGTGCTTTGCAAATCGTTGAACATCTGAAACAGGTATATGTACTCTTGCTTTTTCCTCACGATGTCCAAAGCTAACGAAAAAAACCTGAAAAAAAAAAAAATGTGAGTTCGGCAGTCTCGTTCTTTCTGGGTGCATGTACATCCGTTAAACACAATACTACACATAAGATGGACGTGCAGTGGCGACAGCAGCAATTACTGGCGTACCTGTCTGGCTGCTCTCCAAACTCCTTGGCCGCCTCGACGGAGCTGAACACGAAGCACTTGCCTCGCCATTCGGCTACGCCGATATTTGGATTGCCTGGGATCAGTGCGCCTCTGCCTACAACGAAGCTCCAGGCACAGAATCCGAGAAACTGGAAAAAAAATGGAAAAATCGGTTTGATTCGATTGCAAAGCTGCCCAAAGGATAATTGGCAAACACCATTGTGCAGCTGATTTTTTTTTTTTTTTTTTTTTTTTTTACACTTTTCGGAGGGACGGGCTCACCTGTATAAGAACTAATGTGAATACATTGTCATCTTTTCTTTAAAACAGATGAAAATAAATTAATGTAAAGGAACAACGGAAGCAAGTTTCAAACGTAAGAATAGATTTTTGGTGTGAAAATTGAAGTAACTGTAACTGCATTTATCTGAGGTAAAAATTGAAATAAAAATAATGATTGACAATGCACTGCATGATGCTTAAAAGGATAGTAAGATTTGAAAAAAAACGGAGCATTTTGAACGATTGAAGAAACTTTTAAAAATACATCGTATTAGCTATTGAAGGAAGATGATTAAGGAGAATTTACGAATGGTAAGCCGAATAATAAGAATGTTGGATAAAAATTATAGAATTGTGTATTTGAACGTGTCTGATTAAAAGTATTACTTTAATTTTTTTTATAAAAAGAAACGATGTTCTACTTTTTTCATACCTTCGGTTCCTTTATCCTTCATGTAAACAATAATACAAACTTTTTACTTAACTGAACGTTTACTTATCTCCAGAGTGATATCCTCATGCTCTACGTTACAAAAAAATTTTTTTTAATAGCAAAAAGTAATTTGACAGCTTATAACTATTTAAAATGCAATATTTTAAAACAAAAACTTCAACTAAGAGGTTGAAATTGTTTTTCTCTACAGTGCTGTCTTGATATTGTATAAGATCTATTTTGAAATGATAAACCATTTTGTTTATGGCATCTTACTCTACTCATTGGCGTATAATTAGAAAATAGTGTAAGAAAAATTATAAATCTTAATGAATTTAATTTTAACATTTTTACATGGTAGGTGACTTAAAAGCTACGTTTGACAAAAATTATTTTTGGATCCTTAATAAATGTGTATACTATTTACCTTTTCTGATATCAAGGGTATGAGGTTTACAATTCGTTCATATTTATTTGTAGTTGAGTATGACTAGAAACAGACTTATTTAGTACTTGCTCCTTGGTTTTTGGCAAAATTTCTTGTAAAAAAATTTTCTTGGATTTTGATACCTCTAGTATTTAAACGTACTGAGTTTTATAGAACTCATTCATATTATTCTGATTCAGCTAATTATAAAAATTAGTTTTATTTTGGTATCTAATGATGCCCAGTTTTTTTTAAATAGNTAAAAGATAAAGGCTTCTTATAAAGAACTAAAATAATTTTTTTTAAAACATTTTTTGTTTTAATTATGTATAAATAATATTATACAGCGTATAATTAACTTGTTTATTTACCAAGTCTACTATCTGAATCAAAATTTTAGAAACCATATTAGGATCAATTGAAAATCGCCTGAAAAAATTCCGTTGTAATTAAAATATATAATTTTCGAGTATTTTTTCCCCTAAATATTAGAGTGTCCGTAAAAGGTAGCAAAAAAATTACTCAACTACTTAGGGTTATACATGAAACGTTACCATATAGTATTATCAGATAATTGTAATTTTTTTCCTATTACATCAATATCAGTCTCAGTGAAAGTAGTAGTAGGAAAAAAACACTTGATTAACTTTGCTAAAATGGAAAAACGTTGCAAAAAAATATTGTCGGACAACTAGGACTCGATAAGTTTGATTCGATTATTCCGTGACACTATCGTGTCTAGAACTAAATGTAGCTGTTCGTATGAATTTGAAGTATAACCTTGTAACGATAACTCCATTCTTAAATTTGATGATTCATAGAGTCAGAAATACACGTAGTCGGAAACGCCTGACTCAGAAGGCGGATGAAACGTATGCATGAAAAAAAAAAAAAAAAAAACTCGAAACAAATGTTACATTCTATTTATATTGATTAAAAATTCCCTCATCCTTCAGTGTCGTGCGGAAGAAAACAGTGAATCTACTGAATAGAGTAAATAAAGTCTCAGATGATCCGCGTACTGTGGGACCGTTTAAACGGATGATCCGAGGCTTCTTCACTTGTTAACCGTGGCGTGTATACGATTTTACGTGCCACTGCGGAATTGCGGATAGGAAGCATTTGCTTCATTTACCAAAGTAGACAGAAAGTCACTGCTTTCTTGCTACAGCCACGTAAAAATCTGTATACCGGAAGGAACAAGAAAAACATTTTAATCGGTGATTTTTTCTTTCTCTAGTGCACTTGCTTACAATCATTGTGAAAATGCAGCTATTTAACGGCAGAAAAAAACAAATTATTGTAAGAAGTTGCATGAAGAATGTGAGACGTCTCCTAAAAGTAGAGCAGTCACCAATTGGCGAGGGACACGCGTAATTGACAGGTTGCCTATGAGAAGGCGTTCGTATTTTTCGCTGACAATGCATCACTTATAAGAATATAGGCAGTATACTCTGCACGCGTCAGCAAAATTCTAATTCAGTAAGCAGTTCTCGACAAGTCACGATGAATACAAAACGAGTGCATAGTTCGACCTATGCTAAAGACTATACCGTTGCGGAGATGGCACGATAGTTACGACCAAAAAATTTTTTTTTTCCATACACATACTTATACGTTCACAGGAAATGAAATTTGTTAATGATACATCTTAAGTCTTTTTCATACATTATTGAAAAAAATTTTAGCATTATATAGTTTTATTAAAATCCAAATAAATTAGGTACATGCTGCCATTTTAAGACCATCGTCTAATCGATTTTAGATCGATTTTAGGGGGCAAGGATGTGTTGATTAAGTGATATTGGTGCTTCTTATAAAGAACTAAAATAATTTTTTTTAAAACATTTTTTGTTTTAATTATGTATAAATAATATTATACAGCGTATAATTAACTTGTTTATTTACCAAGTCTACTATCTGAATCAAAATTTTAGAAACCATATTAGGATCAATTGAAAATCGCCTGAAAAAATTCCGTTGTAATTAAAATATATAATTTTCGAGTATTTTTTCCCCTAAATATTAGAGTGTCCGTAAAAGGTAGCAAAAAAATTACTCAACTACTTAGGGTTATACATGAAACGTTACCATATAGTATTATCAGATAATTGTAATTTTTTTCCTATTACATCAATATCAGTCTCAGTGAAAGTAGTAGTAGGAAAAAAACACTTGATTAACTTTGCTAAAATGGAAAAACGTTGCAAAAAAATATTGTCGGACAACTAGGACTCGATAAGTTTGATTCGATTATTCCGTGACACTATCGTGTCTAGAACTAAATGTAGCTGTTCGTATGAATTTGAAGTATAACCTTGTAACGATAACTCCATTCTTAAATTTGATGATTCATAGAGTCAGAAATACACGTAGTCGGAAACGCCTGACTCAGAAGGCGGATGAAACGTATGCATGAAAAAAAAAAAAAAAAAAAAATAANAAAAAAAAAAAAAAAAAAAGCATGCAACAATTGACTGTTTCGGTATGTATGTACAGTAATGGTGTTCTTACGGTCGTCGATGCCTTCACCACCGCTTTGACGGTCGCGGTTGAAGAGACGAATACCCGCTACGATAAGAGCCAGCTCCGCCAATTGTTCTTCCTTCTCGGGCTCCGATAAAGCGACGAAGCGCGGAAGCTCCGAGGGCTGGATCACGCTCTGCAAGCCGATAGCGACTTCCCTACGGACGTTACACACACATGCATACATGCACTGCCGTCGCGAGCAAAAAAACTTGTCAAGCTTTTTATACTGTTTGAATCAGTTTCTATTTATGTAGGGGGAACATAGATAATGTATGGTCGAGTGTGTCTTAAATCGATACACGGAGCCGAGTAAAGTATGTAAAAAGCCAAGTAAAAACGCTCCGTGATTCGCAGGTGACGCGTTTTTACTCATGACGGTAGTACACGCATATAATATGAGAATGGGTCGTTTTACGACACTTCAAGTTTTTTATTTTGCTGAATACTTTCATCATTGATAAAAAATATAAAAAGTTTTGGGGCCTTAAAGTTCGATGGTTCAAGTTAGAATATTCGTTGTGTGGTTTTTTAAATTTATCTTTCCCATACAAGAAATTTGGACAGTTAATAATTTCGTTGATTTATACATGATACTGTGGTAAATAACGAAAAATGTATCATGAGCTTACAAAAAGATGGTTGTAGCTATATCAAAATTTGACGTAATTAATGTATACTAGTTAAAATAAGCCCAAAAAATTTTGACAATGAAGACAAAAAGTTGAAAAAATTGAGAAACACAATGTCTACAATTTCTCGCTTTTAAATAGCGGGAGTGCAGTACCTTGAGGGATTTGATGGGCGTCGATAAAGATTTTCTCGGCGATTGTTTTCCTTTTTTTTTTTTTTTTTTTTTTCTATCTATCTCGGTATCGTACTTTCACAACGTAACAATGGGTTCCTTATCAATCCAAGCGATGCGATATCACAACTACTTACACGTTACACCCATCTATTGGTGAAAAAACCCTTGCGATAAGATCCCTTTACTCCTCGCAATGCCCAAAATTCCCCGTTTCCTCGATCAAAGCAACCTAATGAAACTTTTAACAAAAAACGCGCAAAGTTGTTGGTACAAGTACTGGATTCTACGCGTACCTTAGTACAGGCGGCAGTGTAGGATCCCCAAGGCCGCTCAGCAAGGTAATAAAAACGAGTATTTTCTGATAAAGTCTCTCCATTTCCCGCGTACTATCCAGCTTAACCGTGTCGCAAATTTCCTTCGATAGCGGCGCGGTCTTGTGCGCCAGCCGGCTCCTGCACTTCTTAACGGCGTGGCCTGTGTGAGCACACGTGTAGGTATAGGTGGATTATGGTACATTACACATATATACACATATATATGTATTTAGAGTGCATTGGAGATTATCAACGGGGTTGCTTTTTTACGTGAGCTTCTATAGGTATGGATAATGGAATATCGGCAAAACTTTGTGAGTTTATAGGGGCGTATAAAACGTAATTAGTTTTTTTTTTTTTTTTTTTTTTTTCCAACAAACTACATTGTTAACGAAAAATGTGATAAATGAAAAAAGTTAAAAGAGCTTTGAATAAAACTTACTAGTCCAACGATAAGAGACAAATATACTTAACGCTTTAAATACATTAATTTTCATCCGAATTAAGATCCATAGCATAATTCTATCAATTAATTTTCTTTACAATTTTATTTCCAGGTGCTGTCAATATATTGCAAGGAAATATTTTTTATTTATCCTTACTTGTCAGGGCAAAGCTGCAATCAACGAAAATGTTATTTCCAATCATAAACCTACTTTTTTCAACTTTTTACCAAATTCAACTGTCCAATTTAAGAAAAAAAAATTGATTTCACAACATTAAAACGTTCCAATACAGTAAGTTGCAGTAGTTTTGTAGGTCAATCACAATTTTATTTGAGATATGTATAGTGGTCCAAAAAAATTAGATATGTTTTAAAAGTGCATGAAAAACTTCATTTTTATCACAAAAAATCTATCTTGATTTTTAACACTTGTAAACAAAATTTTAAAAGTAGTCTAAAAAAATATCATGTAGAATAAATTTATTCGTTTATCAACTTTGGTCGTACACGACAATTAATTTGGAACAACCCTTAATAAAAAATGTCCGGTCGCGGTTGAAGAGACGAATACCCGCTACGATAAGAGCCAGCTCCGCCAATTGTTCTTCCTTCTCGGGCTCCGATAAAGCGACGAAGCGCGGAAGCTCCGAGGGCTGGATCACGCTCTGCAAGCCGATAGCGACTTCCCTACGGACGTTACACACACATGCATACATGCACTGCCGTCGCGAGCAAAAAAACTTGTCAAGCTTTTTATACTGTTTGAATCAGTTTCTATTTATGTAGGGGGAACATAGATAATGTATGGTCGAGTGTGTCTTAAATCGATACACGGAGCCGAGTAAAGTATGTAAAAAGCCAAGTAAAAACGCTCCGTGATTCGCAGGTGACGCGTTTTTACTCATGACGGTAGTACACGCATATAATATGAGAATGGGTCGTTTTACGACACTTCAAGTTTTTTATTTTGCTGAATACTTTCATCATTGATAAAAAATATAAAAAGTTTTGGGGCCTTAAAGTTCGATGGTTCAAGTTAGAATATTCGTTGTGTGGTTTTTTAAATTTATCTTTNATTTTTGTGTAAATGTGCTTTAAAGAATCTAATTTTTGTTTAAAAATTAATAAACGAAAAACAAATTACTCTCAAAAATTAACAAATTTTTTTCACGTGATGATAAATTTTTTGTAGAAGTACTCGTATACACAGCTTGTTTAAATGTTAAGCCAGTGGCATAAAAAGTGTCAAGCTAAAAAAAAAGAAAAGAAAATCGCCCAATGAAAACAAAAGTCCAAATTTTAAATCTACATTATTCGAAACAAGTTCGTCTGTTCGTTCCATGTACGAGTTAAATGAAAGAAAATAAAAGATAAAGGGATATAGTAGTGAAAACAAAAAACCTCTGTCACGATAGCGTTTCGCAAAGTGAAATTGAAGCTTAAGCGCGACGAAGCTTGGCCTGGACGGATCGAACAATTTTTCAATTACACCGTTGAGTATTTTCGTTTCGTTGCTATCCGGCCCCTCCACCACCTCCTCTGACTCTTCTCCATCTTCTCCGGGACTCCTCACTGGTACTTCTGTCTCGTATCCTCGATTCGTCAGGCTTAGCGATACGAGCGAGACCTGAGAAATTTGCAAATTGTTTCGAAAGAGGAAGAAAGCACTTTAACCCCCTTCAAGATCCCAGTGTACCTAAGTATACTTGAAGGCAAGTGTTTTTTTTTTTTTTTTTTTTCTTTTTCTTAAAGAGCCAAGTGTTTTTTTAACGCCAGAATATACGTACTGTGTCCGCTTTACATAGTTTTTGCCATTCACCGTATACGAGAGAAAAAAAGGGGAAAAACTGACTCACCAAAAAGACGACAAAATCAGGTGACGCCTGAATGCCTTTATCGCTGCATTGTTTGGTAATTTCTTCAATCATGTCATTAAAAGGAGTGTCCATCTTCGAAGTCGATGGTTTACTGGTGCAGTGTCGGGGTTTCTTGTACCATATGCCGCTCTAAATATGTTGTTTGATCGATAACCCACTGCGTACAATTGCTGGACGACGGAGAGGAAGATGAAAAATTTTTTCATTAAAGATGAAAAACAATTTATAACAAGACACTCTCGTGTGGGGTGGATTACTGAACTGATATGAAAGTATACATCTATTTATTGCAATGTGGTGTATAGAGCGTACAATGTCTTAATTTCAACAAATAAGTAATCCAATTTTTCATCAACGATCTCTTGTGTTATTACATTTACATCTACATGTTTCTATTGCAGTTTATTGCTTCATAACTACTCCATTGAATGACATTACACCTAAAGGTAATACATTTTGGTTGGGGTTGTATGGAAAAGTTTAAATCTTTTTTAATCAGAATAACTTATATGATGCTGAGGCATAAAAAGAGTTTAAAAGTAACTCTTTATTATTATTATTATTTTTTTTTTACATGAATTATGAGTTTAAACGCTATAGAAAATTCATTGAACAAAAACCAACATTTCCATTATTACAAATAATCATCCTGTCCCCATTTTCAACGACGGTATATACCTAAGCTCTGTGATATGTTTATTCCTATTATGATCAAAGTATGTTTGTATTCATCACTTCCATCGCAGTCTTACAAGTAAAGTCGATTATTGTTTATAGAAATGAGAATAAGCTAAACAAGAATCAATTTTACGTTAAACTGCAAGCGCTTGTAGTACAATTTTTAAATTTTTTTTCACATCTGTAGTAATTGGGACGTTCCTCCCAATTTTGTTTTTTAACAGTTAGTATAGCACAGACGTCAATTTATTTATTTTTTTTTTTTCTAAACTGGATACCTATAAAATGACAAACACTTTATTAGCGTCAATAACCAAGGCTAATAGAATACAGATGACTATTTGACACCCTGTTCTGTCTCGGGACGGAACGAAAGATGGATAGCTAAAAAAGCTCGATTTCCGCAAGCTCAACCAAGCAGGTATAATTCAAATCACTCGCTCGAATGAAAAAAAAAGAAAAAAAAGATAGAGAAGTCCCTCTTTGAAACCACCCATCCACCTTTTCGCCAAAATCGATTTTCCATCAATACGAAAAAAAAAGCTCTCATACCCACTTCAAAGGGCCGCCAATAATCGGCCCCCGGAGAGCTTCTCGAGCTTGTGCGCGCGCGCGACTTCCTCGTAAAAACTCTAGCGCCGAACAAACCTCACGCACATATAGGACAACCACGAAGAGAGAGGCGGTCCACGGTGTATAGGTATACCCCGGGTGTTGCGCTTTCGCGTACACGCTTGAGCGTCGTCAGTCTGGCACGGAACGTCGAGCGGCGCGCGGCTGTTGTTCCTGGCCTTTGCAGCTGTTGTGCGCGTCCTGCAGCCCCGCGTAGACGAAAACTCCACGTTTTTCGTTTCCACATTCGCAGGTTGAAGCGAAAACAAAACAATCGCCCGCGCGGGACGAAATTCGAGCGAACCCCGTTTTGACGCTGTGCTTGCGAGAAACGAACTTTCGGGAGGCGGGAATTTTCGGATGAAAACAAAAAAAAAAAAGCTCGCGAGCAGCTGACGAAAGTACCTAACCTCGCTGTCGACGAGCGTCGATATACGCAACACATAGATTTTTTATGGGCACAACAGTGTAGGCATATGTGTGTAGCGAAGTACGCGCTACCAGTGCTCCGTTGCCGATGTAACAATTGGTGTTTTGTTTGTTATTTGTTTATTTTATTTTTTTTTTCTCAACAATTCTGTCTTTTTATTTCGATATAAACAAGTAACAAAGAGAGAGGGAGTGTTGAGAGCCATGCGTCGCCCAGTTTACTGATGTGAACAGATACAAATTAAAAAAAAAAAAAAACAAAGTGTAAAAAAAAAAAAAAATAGTTGGTGGACGAAAGAATTTGACAGTGTAAGGATGGCCCTCCGGAGCTTCCTGGCGCTTCTGCTGACGCTGTCGTGCAGCGTCGTCGCGCACCAGCAACAGCACCAAGCTCGTATCCAAGGTGAGTCACCCATCCGCTTTATAAGTATTCTCTCTTTTTATTCGATATGCTTGTATGGCGGGGAGGAACACATAGTGGTTCCGTTTCAGGACAACGCGCGTGCAACTGCACAACTGCGGGATTTTCCTCCTTTGTGCGGGTGCGCGCGCGCGGTCTTTTATTTTCTTTTTTCTTCCTTTTTTTTTTTTTTTTACGTGCGCCTGTACCTACAGCTGTGGGTATGAGGAGGCGCACCAGCTGACCATCGACTGCGGGTCTTTCGATTTTCGCGGATTTTTCCGAGGACCTAGACATATGTCTATATTTAAGAGCCAGATGGCTACTTTTCTTCGGTACATTCTTTTCAGTCTTTCAAGCTATACCCTTGAAATTTGAAGTAGTAGTTTTTCCTTGTCTCTCTTCAGCTTCGGATCGGTCGTTTTGTCATCGTAGAAATGTTTTTATTATTATTTTTTTTTTTACTCAACCTTTTTTTTTATATATATATTTATGATGGCACGTCAAGTGAGCTCGAAAAATAAATATGTATGTAAAATTATTTTGACTAACGAGTACTTTTTATCGAAAGCACTGAGCCTTGAGTGTTTTTATCCTTTTATTGATTGCCAATTAAATTTTTTAAGCATTGAACTTTTGACTAAAACTGATGGTTGACCTCATAGACGTACATTACTTTCATGCGGAAAAAAAAGTACTACTGCAAACAAGACTTACTTCATTTTATCCATTTTTATACGATGAAAATACTATAAAGAGCATCGTTGACGATAAGCGTTCATTCATCGAGAAAAAAAATTAAAGCCCGTGATTTCATTTCGTGGTAATGGGTCCGAGTCTCGATCTTGTATACCTTATCGTACGATTTTTAATAAGTAGGAAAGGAGTTTGAACACTAAAAAATACTAAATATATTCATAACAGCTTTATTAATGCAATATGTACAATTACTGTTCCAAAAACTTTTTTCTTTTTACAAGTAGGTAATAAATGTTATATATTTATGTTGTGAGCTTTTAATCGTAAATATATTATATTTTTAGACATTGCCTAAGAATAACAAAACAATTACAGTTGTGTTTTTTTATTTAAACTGTTGCATCCCCATCTGACAGGTACGTAAATGAAAACTCACCGGAAACAATATCCTTTTCCAGTAACTTTATTTATTTTTTTGTTAGTATTATACGCAGAGCTGCGATTCATACACGTATTGCTGAGAAAACAATTTTTTCACATGTCCATACAATGGATAACAATTTCGTATTTAATTGGAAAAATTGAATGTTTGCTCTGTACGTAGAGCAGAAACCTTATTCTTTAATTAAAATAAGTGCGCTTAGGATATCAAAACCTTCGTATCCCACATCACATTTTTACGCACGAAAGAAACCCCCCCCCCCCCCAAAAAAAAAAAAAAGCTCAAAGCAACGTAGATAACGAAACTGTGCTCTTACAGCGCACAGGTACGAGAAAAAAAATATCCGAAAATGCCACCTGTTTACATAATGCACGTACTCGCTGGCAAAGGCGACATAATAGGTTCCCTTTGACCGAGAGGGCAAAAGACGAACTTCTCGACGCGCGTGCACAGCGTCAGCAGGAAGACACAATGTCACCGTCGCTCGCGTATCTCGTTACACACGCTGCACCGGGTATATAGCTTTCTGTTATCTGTACTCGAAAAAAAACAACAACAGAGAGGCACCTGCAGCACATCGTCCGTAAACAACAAACTACACGTACCTTCTTTTTTTTTTTTTTTTTTTTTTGTTCACCTAATACGCAGATTTTCACACTCGTCGTATGGATTAAATCAAGAAGAGATGAGGAAAAAGAGGCTTCAATTATGCGGCTGAAGGGTGTGGGCGGTACAGATAAGGATCTTATCCGAAGGGGTATACGTGCGCGCTGAAATCCCAAGAGCTCATCGTGCCCCTTATCGGCATCGGATTACCATCTCGGGTTGGCTCTTTCGCAGCCGATGTGCGTCGACTCGTGCCGACCGATTTCCAGGCTGATGCAAGGCAGAGCGCCTTGAATGTCTCAAAGATCGACCCTTCCGAGAGTCCCTGTTGCCCTCGAGTGCCTCTGCACAGCGTCGTCGGCATTACGATTCGCCGCCTTACTTTTTTTTTTTTTTTTTTTTCCATCGATGCTGTAGGTCGGGTGTGATTTCGTGACCTGTCGGGATAGACCGTGAAAATCGCCCGTAAATATATCGAAATACATACAATACTGTACGTCGGTGGCTCTCTTTTGTCGGGAGGGTAGATATGTAAAAAAGAGACAGGTGGTAGGCAGGAGGGTACAGGGCGGCTTTTACGGTTGTTCCGAACTTTGTCAATGGCTCGGAGCGTTGGCCTCTTTTTTTTTTTTTTTTTTTTTTGTCGTGAAAATAGATTTTTATTGTTTTTTTTCATCGATTGTCGGAAAAATAAATTAATATTTTTTTTTCAATAATTAAATAATCCAACGGATTTACCAAAAAGACTGGGGATTTTGCTTGAAAGGTATGACTGATACGTTTATTCTGCCAAAACAGAGTGATTACAACGTACTGGATATTATTCGTACAAACATTGGTTTTTAACAAAAAGTTTTATTGTTTCAAGAAATATTTAGTCTGATTATAAAGTCAAATGGTTAATTGTTGATAAAGGACTTTATAGCCTAATTAATTTGATACTATTTTTTTTGTAATATGCAGGAAACAATTTTTGTCTCTATATTTGTACTTTTTTTTTTTTTATTTGTGCATTTCATCCGAAAAAAGAGGGTATGAATATAAATGATGAAAAATTTCTAGATCTACAATCTGAAACTTGCGAATTTTTTAGAGACCATAAACCAATTTTCTAACTATTTTTAAGCACTTTTTCCATCCTTAAATCTAGAATGTATGTTTGACTAATAAACTGCACCATACAAATTGTGTTTATCTCTTGCCTTTAACAGACTCGTTTATAATTATTAATTTGTAAAGTTCATCTTGAAAAATAAATTTATTCCTGTTAGGCTTCAATACTGGAGGTTTGAGAATTTTTTTTCCTTTTAACATAACCTCTCCGATGGTAAGCCATGTCGTCCTTCTGGTACTTTGAAGGCGAAATCATCCATGTATAACCAAGTAAAAGCTCAATAGTAAAAAAAATTACTCAAGTTAGCGTTAAACGATTAGCCTACACATATGTTAAGATTAATATTTGTTTTGTTACCAAAAACACATGAAATTCATGTAAAGTTACACCTTCGTTCCCGTGAAAATATAAGGCGTTCCTGTTAACGAGTCACGCCTGAAAATTTAATACAATAACCGTACGAAACGCGTTAGCTGCACGTAACACGGTGGTCGAGGCCTATTCTTTGTACCACGTACAGCAATGTCATCCAAAAAGTATCCTAAACATACAAAACTAGTAAAGGGTCATCAAAAATTGAAAAGATACAAGCAAGCAATCTTCCTCGGGTTGGCGGTAGACGAGAGTGCACAATAAACAAGAAGAATGGGAAAAGGGCGAGGCCACACGTACAAAGGAACATACTGAGCGCGGGGAGCCTCGGAAGGTCCGTGCATGGCGGAGCCTAATCTTGGGCATCTCGAAAAAAAAAAAGGAACCCAAGAATACGGCCCCTCCCGCCTTCGCACGCACTCGAGAGAAGTCTCTCCGAAAATTTACACCCGCCGCCGCTCCACAACGCAAACACGCCCGTATACATTTTTTTTTTCTCCTCCTCCTCGCTCGCCGCAGTCGATAGGCACGTGTGCATTGTTCCGACTTTCTCATATACACCCGGTTTTCCCTTGTGCACGTATATTGCATTTCTCCGTCATCTGTCCATCTCCATAATACTGTAGCCCGGGATATTTACAGCCTTGCACTCTCGGGGGGACTATAACACGAGCAGCCGAAGCAGAAGGCACATAAGTAGTTGTTAAAGGGAAATGGTCATTTGGGGTGACGGAAAATCTCTTCACGTCTGGTTAATTTTACTTATGGATGAGCCCGAGATCTCGTTTGGATTAACACCAGGGAAGAGAGAATTATTGCTTTTCCTGGGAAAGTGCGGTTTTGGGTGTTTGATAGTATTGGTCGTTACTTCATGAAGATCCATGTCAGGTTAATTATTAAATTTAAAAAATGACTCTCGATTCAATAGTCGATCTTCACTTTTATTCGTTAAAAAACGTTACAGCTGTTTCGGTATCACAGTACCTTCTTCAGACGTATATGTACATACGTTCAGTATTGAGCATATAACAAAGGAGTATTATAAACATCCTTTAATCTTAAAAAATGTAGAAATAATTTTATTAGATTTTATGTTATTTCTAATGTATTTTTTTTTTTTAACAAAGCAGTTTCTCATTACAAACAAAAATTAAAAGAGCTACATATAAATAAAGTGCCCATACTGCTCTACTCTCCCCCTCGCTCCCCCTTATACGCCACACGAGTCATCGAGTCCCCTATCTTCTGTCGAAAAAAAATTGTTATAATTACAGAACAATACGTATCCCGAGACACTAGAGAAAAAAAAAATTCTAAATGAACAGAATCCCTTCAATTTTTTTTTCGAGTCAGAAAAAGAGAGGCATAGGGCGGGCGCGACGTCGTTTGATCTCCCCTTCCCCTGTATGTGAGGCCTCGAAAAATGACTCAACGCACGTGCCCCCAGGTATTGTAATACACGTCGTGTATAAGCACCAACGGACTGCAGTATAAATATAGGACTCAGGTAAAAGCGAAACGCGAAGTGCAGTGGCTTTTGATAGCTAACGCGTATAGCTGCTCAACCGGAAGTGCGTGTGCGCACACATTCGTGGAGGTATACATGTACGCGTGACCGCCTTGCTGAAAGTTTAGGGTGAGGTACACTGTAGGGGAAGCCCTTCTTCGCTCTGCAGATTTTTTTTTCCTCCCCCTTTGCAGCTGTGCGCGTGCTGTGCTGAATTCAATTTCCTTTTTCACGTCTTTAATTCTTTTTTTTTTTTTTTTCAC